GCCGCTCTGGTTGGGGGGGGTGAAGCCTAAAAAACGGAGTTCAGGGAAAGAATCACATTCAACACATCGATTCCAGCTCACAGAGGCCATGAAAGCCTGCTGACCTCCTCCTGAAGGTGTACCACCAGCCTCTCTGCTCAGGGCTCAGCTCAAGTCTCTGGATCACAACTGTGGCAAAAATCAGCCTCATGTTGGAGAACATCAGCATGAAGCAGCTTGTGACTCATATAGAACCATCTCACAGAACCTGTGAACACCAGTTTGTCTCCCATCACTGATCCACATGTCACAGTGGCAACAAACCGAAGAAAAACCAGACGCAAGCCGACAGAAATGAGGCTAAAAGCAACATTAACAGGACACGAAGCTAGAAGAACGGGATGAAAGATGACAAATATGAGAGAAAACTGTTAAAGAAAAGACACAAAACGACATGAACGGGACACAAAACAACAGAAAACAGACAGAATTCAACAAAACCAAGACACAAAACATGAGAAACAAGACACCAAATGACAGAAGACAAGTGAGTGACAAAAAAACTACATAAACAGACAAACAAAAAGACACACAAAAAGAGAAAACAAGACAAAGGACAACCAAATGACAGAAACACACACCGGACGACAAACTGGTGGCGGAGCAGCACGTGATCACAGCAAACAGACTAAAAACATCTAATCCTGCTGATGTTAGAGCCTCAGACGGTGGAGAACCAGGGATCCATCCAGAGACAGACACTGACAGGAACTTTCTGAGGAACCAGTTACACCGTTTGAGTCACTTTGAACAAATCTTGAGTAACTCTGGGCACATTCTGAGCAGCTTAAACAGTTTCAGGTCATTTCTGGACTGATTTTAAGTGATTTTGTAGAATTTTGAGCCATTTCAAGTCATTTCAGACAGTAACGGGACATTTTGGGGCAATTTGGAGCGATTTTAAACTGCTTTAAAGTCTAAACATCTAAAACCAGAACCTTGTCTGGTCCAACTTCACCACATCAGGTTCTACTGATGTTAGAGCCTCAACAGTTACAAACAAAATTGAATTGAATTGAACAGTTGGAGAAATAAGACCAGAGACTGGGTTCTAGTAGAACCATGGATCCATCCAGAGACAGACACTGACAGGACCTCTGTGGGGACACAAAGCCTTCCTGGTGGGAACATTTTCAAGAGGCAGTAACTTAAAACACCTCGTGGTGGACCATCTTCATTTGACATGTTCTGATTTCCAGATTAATCCGACACATCCCTGAATCAGTTAAACAGCCTGTGACTGGTTGTGACCCAATCAGGACGTCGCTCACTGGACTCTGTGGAGCTTCTTGAACAGAAGACAACGTGGTGGAGATCCCTGCTGATCCCGTCAGCTCTGAGTTAAACACACCAGTTCAGTTTAATCTTTAACCGGATCATCACGCAGCAGCCTCCTCTGCAGACCATGACGGCTTCTCCTCTGGTCCCTGCTGTTGTCGCTCACTAAGCTCTCTGTGCAGTAGAATGATGCAGTGAACATCTGAAAGTAGAGTTCTACTGAAGAGTTCAGTCATCAGAGTGAACAGTCTGACCACTGCTGTCTGTGCCTCATAAAACCAACCAAACCTGCTAAAAGCTCCTCCAGAACCTCCTCAGAACACCTGGTTCTGTATCTACTGACCAGAGTTCTACCTTCAGACTGTGAATGTTCCAGAGGTCCAGGTCCTTGAAGTCCACAGAGGAGGGTCCAGATTGATCACTTTAATGGACTTTTTCCATCATTTCTGAGCCTCAGAACTTCATCAGAACAAGACAAGTTTGATGTTTCATGTACAGTACACAACGTTTGAGGTGAAACTTCTTTTGAAAGCCCGGTTGCTCTCTGACTCGGATCCCTTCGACCTGACTGACAGAACCAGATCCACGGCGGTTTGGTTCACATGAACCATTTTCCCGTTGTATGAGGACCAGGTAGGCGGCCCAGTGTGGGACGCGGGCCTGGACTGTGTGTTCAGTGCTTCGCTGTGTGAGTCCGTCCCGGCCAGTCAGAGTGTGAGAGTCCCGTCCAGGCGCTGTCCCAGGACCCCGGAACCTTCCAGAACACCGGGGCCCGACCACACAACAAACGGCGCCGTCAGCGTGATTTATCGGCCATTCAGCGGCGCCCCACAAAGACGCACACGTATGAGCACGTATGAAAAATCGAGCGGCACAAAAAGATGCGCTCGGGCAGATGTGTAGTGTGACGCGGGAGGACGGCTTTGGATGGAACCGGAGACAATGGACGGACAGGGAGCTGAATAACGGCAGCACAAAGACAGAAGGGAGGACGGAGATGAAGGACGAGGACGATGGGGGGAGCTCAAGTAAACATCGATGCCGCATGAATGCAATTTTTTCTTTTCTCCTTCTCCCCATCTTCCCCCCTTCCTTCTCCTCCTCCGAGGGAGAACAAGAGGCACTGCATCATCCCGACAGCCGCAGAAAGAGAAGAGAGGAGGCAGAAAGAGGGATTGTGACGGAGGGATAAAGGGCTATCCGTCTCCGTCCGTCACCTCATTCATCGTCTGCGCTCCGTCCTGCCGGCCCATCCGTCATCCGCTGTCACACAGACACACAACTCTGCACAACAACAAACATCAAAGCCGGGCACACACTCGCTCTCCGCCCTGCTTCACACATTCACAAGCGCTCACTTTCACACACTTTCCCAGCGGCGGCGGCAACGGCGGCGACAAACGCGCAGCGGCCAGAAAGCCACACAAGCTCGGCCTCTCCGCCCCGTTTCACACATTCAGCGCCGATGACAGACACACAAACTGCGCTCAGTTTCACACATTCAGCGCCGATGACAGACTCACAAACACGCCAAAGAAAGAAGACGCTCGGAAACGGCGGCGGCAAAGTGCGACATGGACACACACACACACACACACACACACTCCGCCCAACATCCTGGGTTCTCTTTGGAGCCGTCCAGTTCTGTCCGACTGGTTCTGCTCGCTTTTTCCCAGGACCCGAAACACACAACCGGTTCTCAACATCCGGCCCGGGGACCCGTGTCGTCCCCCTGGAAACTGGAAACCGGCGCCATCGAACACATGTCAGCTCTGAAGCTAGAAAGTCCACAACATCACCGCTCCGACACGTCAACAGCCGCACAACACGACCTGCTTCGTAAAGAGGAAGTAACGTAGAAATATCAGCTCAACAGTGCACACAACTGGTTGTCAACATCCGGCCCGGGGACCCGTGTCGTCCCCCTGGAAACTGGAAACCGTGACTGAACACGGATAAGGACATTTTAGATAAAAGCCGTCATTCTTGAACCACCCAGGTCCACAACAGAGCACATCACTGCTCCGACACATCACAGAAGGACCAACAACGGTCACACAACACAGCAGCACACTACACAAACACAATCTGGTCCGTAAAGAAGCTGAACGTCTTCAACATACTAACGAGGAGTCCTCTCCAAGAAACTACCAGCATCAAACATCTCATCCTGTGCATCCAAGGAGGGCTTTTATTCACCAGTTGATGGTTTAACCCTCCATTTATGTCAAGAAGAACACGTTTCAGAGGCGATGATTCAAACAGAGTATAAGGCTCCCGGGCCTTCTGGATCACAGAACTTCTGTGTCTGACCATGAAACTCCTGCTCAGTCCGTTAGCGTCGCTGCTGCATCACGTCAGGAAACTTAACAACATATTACGGTTGATTGTTTTTGTTTTTGTTGTTTGGTTTTTGTGTTGATGAAAATATTAAATCCTCAGGTTTGAAAACTGGAATTCTAAAAACTCAGCCATAACATCTTACAGAACTTAGCTTTGGTCCTGAATAAGAAGGAAGTAAACTGAAGTAAATCTGAGACTACAGAGCAACATGGAGTTTATTCTAGCTTATAAGTTCTAACTCATATTTCTGCTCATGTGTAAACTCTGCATGTTCAGGAGATGAAGAGTGAAGACGCTGCAGCGGTCTTTCATGTTTAATCATCTGAATCTTGGACCTTCCATGTCAGTGTTAATCCAACCTCTAACTTTGCGACGGGAGATGAGTTGCCTCAATGTTTGCTCAACTACAAGACGTGCAAATGAATGAACGGCCTGCTGAGATCCTTTAATCCTCAGAGTTCTCCAGCTGGTGCACTGAAGCCGTTCTGGAAGGAACTGACGTAGTACGATTGATCAAAATAATCCAAAAATCTAAGGAAAACTAAAGAAAGAAGATTGTGTAGCTTTATGTTTGATAGTTTAGACATGCAACAACGGTTCTGCATCAGGGTTCTGCATCAGGGTTCTGCATCAGGGTTCTGCAGGCATTTCTGTCTCAATAAAGAAGAAATGTCTTCACTCTGTAACACATGGACTAATTAAGTTCATCCAGATCAAGTAAACAAGTGACATCAGTGTCCCTGGTTTAGCTTTCAGCTGAACTGTTTGCAACTTTACAATCTTCTGCTTAATTCCTAAAACATGATTGTGTCTTTACAGTTCTCGTCTGTAATCCTGCTCAGAGACAGCAGCAGAAACGTCCAGGAAGTAAATCTCAATTTCACACTTTCACCAAAGTCAGAGCGCTGGTTTAAAAGGACCGAGTGTAATTCCAAGTTCGTAGATTCCAGAGACGTGGAACAGCGTCACCAAACCAGAGATAAACCAGATTCAACCGTTTACAGTGTAAACACTCCGGCGCTGCATCGGTTCTCAGGTTCTATGAGCAACTTTAGAGCTTCAGTTTGATTCAACAACAGATGAGGCAGGAGATGAGACAAACTGTGAGAATGTTTCAGAAGACGTGGTGCACAGAGAACCAAAATAAAAAGGTATAAAACCAAACAGAACCCAGAGGAGGAGGAGGAGGAGGAGGAGGAGGAGGTCCGGGGGTGTGTGAGGGAGGATGAAAAGGACGGAGGGGGGAGGAGGAGGAGGCAGAAAAAAGATAGTGGGGAGAAAAAACACAACACAGAGAGAGAAAACGAAGGAGAGAGGACCACGAGGAGACAAAGACCTACTTGTCTCAAGTCACTGAAGGCCAGAAGCAACGTGTCACCCTGGAAGCCTGCGACCGGCCCGGCTCTGGCAAAACCTGTGGGAAAATACAAACCCGCCCCCCCAGTCCACCCCCGGAGAGAGGGAAGAGAGGAGGAGGAGGAGAAGAAGAGGGTGAAAAACGGAATAATAAAAGACCTGGTCGGATTCGCTATGCATCGGGATAGATTGGCAGACAAATGACAGCCTGGGGAGGAGGAGGAAGGGTGTTAGAGTCATGTCGCTGGGTCTGGGGGAAAAACACTGAGCAGCTGAATGAGAGTGTGTGTTAGTGGATGTGAAAGAGCAGCAGCGCATTGGAGTGGAGCTCAGTGTGCAGCCCAGGCTCCACTGAGTGACCTCCATACGCAACCAAGCCGCTCTCACTGACGTCTAAAGGAGTTCTAGCTAGAAATAAACCTCTCCTGTCACCGGAGACGTCCTAGGAAAGACGGTCGGGTTGAAAGACACACAGTTAAAGTAAAGACGTCGTAAAGACGGTGGCAGAAACCAGAAACCAGAAACCAGAAACCAGAAACCCACCTTCAGCCAGAAGACCAGCAGGAAGTGGAGACAAACTCCATCATCCCAAAGTCCCAACAAACCTAATCAAAGCTGTGACTCGGTTCATGTGTGACAGACTAGAGACCATCAGGACTCGGACCTATGGGGGTCACGTATCAAACACTTAGTCATGGTGAAAATCCATGTTTACTGTGTTTTGTAGCGTCTAAGACAAAAGTTTGGTGTCAGAGGATCCTCCACCACCCACACAGTCAGAGTTGACCATTACCAGACTGTCACTCGACTCGTGGCTGTCGGCTTCAGGAGGTCTTTGACTTGGACTGTGGTTTCCATCGACGGAGCCCTAACATGTCCAGGTAGTCTGTGCTCTGTTCAAACGCTGAGCTCAGCTCTCGTTAGCTGCTTCCTCGTGTGGCTTCTGTGTTCTAGATGAAGGACAGCGTGACCAAACACACCTCTGGCTGTTTACACTGACGCGTCTGCTTTCAAAGATCAAACTGGTCGTTTTCTGTCCAGGTCAGTTTTAACTCACTGTCCGGTTAGGTTAAAGAAAATCAGTGTGGTCAACAGTTCTACACGCTGACCACAAAACACTCTGCAACAGTTCTGAGACTTTCCAGCCAGTCGACTAGTTGGGGACTAGCTAGTCGTCGTTGACTATTACAACCAGATGTTCTAACCTTGTCTTCATAAATGGGTTCATAGTGGTGGGGCCAAAAATCAAGCTGTGATTTTTGGAATTTCCCGTTCTCAGACCTCTGATTTGAGTGTTTTCACAGTTAAACAACCTGTGAAGCCAGAATCAGGCTTTAATGTCTCCAGAAGTAAAACTACAGAACATGAAATGTGCTGACAGAACCGTTCCATCGGATCAGAACGACTGAATGGATCCAGCAGAGGACAAGCGTTTAATTATTTCTCCTTGAAAAAGGGAAAACAGTGTAAAACTTTCCAATGATAGAGGTATCGTGTCCCCTGATGGATCCATGTTTCACCAACTGTTGAGGCTCTAACATCAGTAGAACCTGATGCGGTAACGTTGGACCAGACAAGGTTCCAGTTCTTAGAGGTTCAGACCAAATGGCGACGTGGACTCCAGTTACTGTAAGTTTCCATAAACAGATGTGTTTTAATACTCGGTGATCATAGTCGACTATCAGGACCAGTGATGATTCTACAGCTCTGAAGCTCCTCCTCCATGTTCTGGTTACCAGGGTGACGGGTCCCTTTGGTGCTATCATATGACTGGTTGGTTGAGAAGGAGCGGCAGTAAAGCAGCAAACACCACGACCAGCGGTGTGGTCGGACCTGTCTGTGGAGGCTACAGCAGGAGGAGCTTGCTGGCTGTTTCCTGCTGTTCTGCTCGCTGGTCTGAGAACAGTGGAGGCCTGTTGGACTGTGAACCGGGCCGACGCCTGGTTGCTGGTCGGGGTCGGCCGGAGTGTGAGCTGGGGTCCTGGCGTCAGTTGGCCCCCGAAAACAAGCCGGCTGGTATTCTGAGCGAGGGAGCGAGAGAAAGGAGGAGTGTAGCGGAGGGAGCAGCTAATCTCTTTCACCTCAGGACACTGAAGCACAAGGCCATAGACTGAGCAGCGCCGATTACACGCCTGCCATCGCAGTGACCCGGACACACAGCGCAGCGCACTCACACCGGCCCGCTGCTGAACCCTGGGACAGAACCGGCCTGCAGCACGGGTTAAC